TTAGAACTTTCCCTCTTTCTTCAAACACCAGATTTTTTTTATAAAAGTTTTGTTGTAGAAAACTTTTATAGAAGTTCAATGATCTTGTAATACATTAGTGATTACTCGGTGGATTGATTTCGTCGGTGTAAAATGCAATTAGTCATTAAATTTCATTGCATCCTTAAAGTTTAGTCCCTGCAACCATTTTACACTCTTACTAAGTAAATAATATGGTGTGGACAAATAAAACCTTAAGAAAAGTGGCACCGTTATACGTCGTAGAGCTTTTTCTCAAAATTTTAAATTTACCGGGAGCAATAATACCAATTTTTTAGTGTTTGCTCTAACAAAATTCATGAAGCTTTTTATTAGAAATGAATAAATAAAAACTAAAATTGAAAATCATAATTGATAGATTGAAAGATCTCATCACATAGATTGAGCATGTAAAATTTAAAAAAATTTGAAAAAATTTCAATATATTTATTAAGTAGATATTTGCAGTAAAAATATTGATAGAATTGTTATTGTTGAATAAGTATTGATTAAATTTGAATTACAAATAATATTTTAAATAATTTTTTACATATTATTGATCTTTATATTAAATTTTATCAATCTATCTGTTCAAAATTTTTATTTACTCATTTTTAATAAAAACTTCACAAACTTCACTTATGAAACTTCATGTAAATTTTGTTCTATTTCAAATAGTCTATGTACCACCCTTTTTAGTAGGTAGTAACAATATTTCTTATGCAAGAATTGTCAAAGTTCCTTTAAGCCTAAAATGGGATTTTGTTTTGATAAACTTTGCATACTAATGCACTTTAAAAATTCAAGAAGTATATGTTTTTATATGAATGTTTCAAGGTTTTATCTCATAAAAAAAGTTTCACAAGTTTTGGGTTTAAGTTTTAACTTATGTATCACATAGCATATTCATAGAATATTTTGATGTAGGATTGAAGTATCATAAACTCCTCATGTTAAAGTTTAAGTTTGATGTTCTGGTCAAGCCTCAACACTGAATCAGAATCAAATCAGACATTAAGATTCTAGAGATGACTTTGATTGTGTAGCACTTAATTCTTATATCAGAATCACATAAGATATTGTGATTCTAGAAGTAACTCCCATTATATAGCACTAAGCTCTCATGTGAAGACTTGTACTAAACCTACGAGATATTATTTGTTTTAACCGAAAGTCTTACGGTTTTGTCCCTTAAAAAATATTTTACAAAGTTTAGGTTTAAATCTCAACTTATATATCGAAGTGAAATAGATTCACAGAATGTTTTGATGTGTAACCAGAGTGGTACAATACACCTCTTTAATACTTTAAAAGAGAATTAAAAGATAAATTTGGGTAATAGAAAATTTACTTTACAGCTCTTTGCTTTTTTTAATTTTAATGAAGGTCACCCAAGACCGGCATGCAAATTAGACTCAATGTATAATTATTTAACAATGTTTCAAAATGATGACCCCAGCAAATTTGTATGCATCTTCGGCCTCATGCTAACAAGAATTTTATAAATTTACAGCATTAAGGGGTGTTAGCTATAAGCCTACAACTCATCACACACTAAAACTGATCTGAATCTGCTTCAGCTTCATTTTCTTCAATACTTTTTTTTTTGTTTTTTTAGTTATGGAGCTTCATCTGCCGTCCTTTGAAGTCATCTTAACCTTCCTCCTTGTTTTTCTAATGATATTCAAGAGTTTAAAGAAATCCAAACTAAAGGATTCACCCAAAAACCTACCCCCCTGCACCATGGAAACTACCTTTTATAGGACATTTGCACCTTTTAACTATCTCTCTTCCACATCATCGCTTGAGAGAATTAGCCAAAAAGAACGGTTCCTTGATGCACCTACAACTTGGTGAATTATCACACATTGTAATTTAATCTCCTGAGGCTGATAAAGAAGTGATGAAAACACATGATATCAATTTTTCTAACAGGCGTTTTCTCCTTATGGCAAGAATCATATTGTATAATTTTACAAATGTCTTTTGCACCATATGGAGGCTATTTGAGGCAGCTTAAAAGAATTTGCACATTGGAGCTGTTAAGTACAAAACGTGTACAATCATTCCGATCAATCAGGGAAGAGCAGATGTCAAATCTAATTAGGTCCGCCGCTTCTAGTACAGAACGGGCTATCAACCTTGGTGAGATGTTAATCAACTCATCATATAGCATCGTTTTAAGGACGGCCTTTGGCGGGAGATGCATGCAACATGAAGCGTTCCTTTTAGTTATGAGGAAAATTTTGGAAGCGGCAGGTGGTTTTACTATTACCGATCTGTTTCCTTCCATCAAATTGTTTGATGTGATCAGTAGGATGAGTGCCAAACTTGAGAGGCTGCACCAAGGTACAGATGAGATCCTTGGAAACATCATTGAAGAACATAGAGCTAGCAAAGCAAATCGGAAGAATGGTGATGATGTAACAGATGATCTAGTTGATGTTCTTTTGAATCTTCAGGAACATGGAGGCCTTGAATTTCCCTAAACATATGATAACATCAAAGCTGTTATCCTGGTTAGTAGTTTGACATCTCATATCTTGCATGTCTGTGTGTAAGTGTATAATCCTATGAATTTACACACAACTAGCTAGTAGTAATACCAGAGAGTTGCATTAAGTACTTCTTCTCAGGACATGCTCATTGGTGGAACTGACACAAATGTAACAACAGTAGAATGGGCAATGTCCGAAATGATGAAAATCCTAGAGCGCTGGAAAAGGCACAAGCAGAGGTGAGACAAGTCTTTGACAGAACAGGGGATGTCAACGAATCAAACCTTCATGAATTGAAGTACTTGAAGTTAGCTGTCAAGGAAACTCTAAGATTACACCCTCCTGCGCCTTTGCTAGTTCGAAGAGAAAGTGTGGAGACATGTGAGATTAATGGATATGAGATACCTGCAAATTCCAAAGTGATTGTTAATGCATGGGCAATTGGAAGGGATCCCAAGTATTGGAACGAAGTTGATAGGTTTAATCCAGAGAGATTCCTGAATAGTTCAGTTGACTATAAAGGGGCTAACTTCGAATTTATTCCATTTGGTGCTGGAAGGAGAATGTGTCCTGGCATGTCATTCTGTATGGCTATTGTCGAGCTTTCTCTTGCACATTTACTGTACCATTTTGATTGGAAACCCCGGAATGGGGTGAAACGTGCACATCTAGCCATGAGTGAGACCCTTGGTATTACCGCTAGAAGAAAAAGAGATCTGTACCTGATTCTCATTCGGTACTCAGCAGCTTGAAGCAAAAGTATCGGACGATTATCTTGTAAAGCCATTGGGAAGATTGTCAAATCACATTTCTCATGGCAGCTATTGCTTCCTAATAGTTTTGTATCAGAACGCAAATAAGAAGCATGAATGTATGGTCGGTCCAGCATGTTTTAGAGATCAATTCTCAAATAAATAATCAATTTTCAAACGAAACATCTTTGAATTGAAGTTACCAAAAGAAAGATAATGATAACAATAGCTACTTATCCAATGGCTTGTTTTGAACAATTAAACATTGGCCGTCAATTGAAATCATTCATGTTCTGGTTCTTCATGAACATCAGGAATTGGTGGTGAATTTACGCCACTTGTCAATTGAAATAAAGAACTTAGCTTTTTTTTTTTCAATAATTGAAAATAATTGTATTCATCCAAAAGGAGCTAGCAGAATATCTGCTAAAAAAATAGCTCTCACAGAAGTTTAAAAGAGACCGGAGAATAACAAACAAATTGATCTAAAAAAATTTGATAAAAAATTGTGATAAGAGGTGTTCATGTATCGAGTTGAATTAAATTTGATTAACTTTTTAAAATTCTTATTCAAATGTGGCCTAATTCAATCCATCATTGACGAGGTTTAATTTATTTTGAAAAAAAATTAAAAATTAAATTAATTTTAATGTTAATTAATCTCTAAGTAATTAATCGGACAGATGGCTTGATCTACGGTCACATTTATCTCTGAGCAAAAGAGCTATCTGGAGAAATTCTACTAAGCTTGAGCAAGGAATTCAAGATGGCAAAAGTAAACATTCTGACCAAAGCTCCTCCGTATTTTCCTCATTTAGCCACACCCATCCTTTTCAACCTTCTCCTTTCTGTACACTTTGTGCTGAAATTAGGGACTACAACAATTTTTGCTTTAATAATACGGTCCGATGTCTTTAGATTTTGTTTAAATTTAATCTTTTCGTTATAATGCACTTTAAATGATCAGGACAACTTGATGTATTTAAGATTTTATGACAAGAATCAAAGTTTGATTAACAAAATAAATTGCTCTTTACCAATTGGATTAACCCTTTTGAGTGAAACTTGAAGGCCAATAACAATTACTCAAACAAGCAGCCGCCTCCATAGCTCATATACCAATTTTTTTGCAAAGTAGTAGCTATTTCTTATGCAAGTATTGTCAAAGTTTCTTTAAGTCAAAAAATGCGATTTGTTTTGATAAACTTTGTAGACTAACGCATGCACTTATGTATCCAAATTCAAAATCAAACACACTTTTCCACAATGAAGTAGAGAAGTTTGACAGAAATCCTTCTTAAATTGTTGAGATTGAGAAAAAAATATACAAACAAGAATTCAAAGAAAGTCACAATGATTTTTTCCGTAATTGGTGTCCAGAAATCATTAGAATCAATTTGAAGACGTAATAAGCAGGGAAGTGGCAATGGAGTCTTTCATTAATTTTCAATTTTCCAAACATTTGCTTCTACAATTAATTTATTTGCTTATTTAGTTTTGATTTGAATACGTGTCTTTCAAAAGAAACAACTCTTAATAAATAATCAGTGTTTTTTTAAAGGAATTGTCTGCTAAACAAAGACTTTGCAATTGAGGTGTTCAAACTAGTTCCAATTGCTTGTTTTGTAAGTAGGAAATTGAGTCTAAAGATCACTTATTCTTCACACGTATGTTAATTAAACAAAATTGACCACGGATGCTACATCTTTTTAGGATTCAAGGACTAGTTAGCGACTAATTGACATTATGAATTTTTTTGGATCAAAACTAACTTAAAAAGATAAATCCCTTTTGACTATGACTCTTAAAATTGCTTATAATCCCTTCATCTATGAAGTTTGGACGAAAAGCAGGCTCCATAGTGTCCAACACCTTGTTGATAATTTTCTTAACAGGTTTCTTTCTAGTAATTGGATTGTTTGATTGATTTGCTACATTTTGTTGTTCTTTGATGTTTTGCTCTTGTAAAGCTTAATTCTTAGTAGTAAGACTTCTTCTTTTTGGATGAATAAAAATCACAATCATTTATACAAGAAATTCAATTTATTGTAGTCTCTTCTGCTATTTAATTTTAATGATAGTCACCCGCAACTGGCATGCAAATTGGACTTGATCACTCAAATGTGTAATTATTTAACAATGTTTCAAGGTGATGACCCCAGCAAATTTGTATGCATCTTCGGCCTTGTGCTAACAAGAATTCTATAAATTTACAGCATTAAGGGGCGTTAGCTATAACTCATCACACACTAAAACTGATCTAAATCTGCTTCAGCTTCATTCTCTTCAATACTTTTATCTTTTATTTTTTTTTTTTTGTAGTAATGGAGCTTCATCTGCCTTCCTTCCAAGTCCTCTTAACCTTCCTCCTTGTTTTTCTCATGATATTCAAGAGTATAAAGAAATCCAAAATAAAGGATTCACCCAAAAACCTACCCCCTGCACCATGGAAACTACCTTTTATAGGACATTTGCACCTTTTAATGTTCTCTCTTCCACATCATCGCTTCGGAGAATTAGCCAAAAAGCATGGTTCCCTGATGCACCTACAACTTGGTGAATTATCACACATTGTAGTTTCTTCTCCGGAGGCTGCTAAGGAAGTGATGAAAACACATGATATCAATTTTGCTAACAGACCTTTCCTCCTGCCGGGAAGAATCGTATTCTATAATTTTACAGATATTTCTTTTGCACCATATGGAGGCTATTGGAGGCAGCTTCGAAAAATTTGCACGTTGGAGCTGTTAAGTACAAAACGTGTACAATCATTTCGATCAGTCAGGGAAGAGCAGATATCAAATCTAATTAGGTCCATCTCTTCTAGTACAGGATTGACAATCAACCTTGGTGAGATGTTAAACAACTTATCATATAGCATCGTTTTAAGCACGGCCTTTGGCGGTAGATGCAAGCAACATGAAGCATTCCTTTCAGTTATGAAGAAAATTTTGGAAGCGGTAGCTGGTTTTAGTATCAGCGATCTGTTTCCTTCCATCAAATTGTTTCATATGATCAGTGGGATGACAGCCAAACTTGAGAAGCTGCACCAAGATACAGATGATATTCTTGAAAGCATCATTGAAGAACATAAAGCTAGCAAAGCAAATCCGAAGAATGGTGATGATGTAACAGATGATCTAGTTGATGTTCTTTTGAATCTTCAGGATCATGGAGGCCTTGAATTTCCCTTAACAATTGATAACATCAAAGCTGTTATCCTGGTTAGTAGTTTGATATCTCATATATTTCTTTTGTATATGTGTGTAAGTGTATAATCCTATGAATTTACGCTCAACTATTTAATACCAGAGACTTGCTTGAAAATCGTACAAAAATGGTTTTCACTTTAATTGACTACTTCTTTTCAGGACATCCTCATTGGTGGAACAGACACAGCTTCAAATACAGTAGAATGGGCAATGTCCGAAATGATGAAAAATCCCAGAATGCTGGAAAAGGCACAAGCAGAGTTGAGACAAGTCTTTGATAGAAAAGGGGATGTCAACGAATCAGACCTTCATGAATTGAAGTACTTGAAGTTAGTTATCAAGGAAACTTTAAGATTACATCCTCCTGTGCCTTTGCTAGTTCCAAGAGAAAATGTGGAGAAATGTGAGATTAATGGATTTGAGATACCTGCCAAGTCCAAAGTGGTTGTTAATGCATGGGCAATTGGGAGAGATCCCAAGTATTGGAACGAAGCTGAGAGGTTTAATCCAGAGAGATTCCTGAATAGTTCAGTTGACTATAAAGGGGCTAACTTCGAATTTATTCCATTTGGTGCTGGAAGGAGGATGTGTCCTGGGATGTCATTCGGTATGGCTATTGTTGAGCTTTCCCTTGCATGTTTACTGTACCATTTTGATTGGAAACTCCCTAATGGGATGAAACGTGAAGATCTAGACATGAGTGAGGCCTTTGGTTCTACTGCTAGAAGAAAAAGAGATCTGCACCTGATTCCCATTCGGTACTCAGTAGTTTGAAGCAAAAATATCAGATGATCATCTTGTAAAGCCATTGAGAAGATTGTCAAATCACATTTTTCATGGCAGCTATTGCTTCCTAATAGTTTTGTATCAGAACTCAATTAAGGAGCATGAATGTATGGTGGGTGCAGCATGTTTTAGAGATCAATTCTCAAATAAATAATCAAATTTCAAAGAAACAATTATTTTCTTTTCAAATGAAACATCTTTGAATTAAGGCTACCAAAAGAAAGACAATGATAACAGTAGTTACTTATCCAATGGCTTATTTTGAACAATTAAACATTAGCTGTCAAATGAAATCATTGATGTTATGGTTCTTCATGAACATCAGGAATTGGTGGTGAATTTACACCACTTATGCCATATGAAGCAGTTTATGTCAATTAATTAATTCGCATGTAATAATTAAAGCTTATTATGGAGTTCATTGGTAGCCCATCTTCATTTTCCCTGGATCGAGACAACTATCAGACTTGATGGTTGCAGAGCTAACACTAATTCAACTATTCTCAATTGAATCAAGGAAGTAGGTTTTATATGTGCTGATGTTGTTCTTACTGGTTTTTAAAATTGTAAGAGGTTCTTGGTACCTTAATTAGAATCTTGAGTTGTTGCCTACTATCTGGGGAAGAATAATAATAATAATAATATCTTGCAATGGAAAAATCTTCTAGCAAATTGGTAACTATGGCAAACGAGAGAGAGAGAGACATAGATTTTAAAGAATTTTTTAGATTATCTGCCAATTCATGAGTTTATCCCTATTCTATTTTTTTAATAACACCAATAAGTGGTGACCTTAGATCAGTACTTGTGTCAGCTTTCAGAATCAGAATACGTCATAAGGTGGCTGTACATGGTTGGTGTCCATTTTAAAATTGAAAACTTCATGTCACGGGTCTTTGGATTCATACAAATCAGTACTTGTGTGTTTTTTCAGAATCAGAATACGTCATAAGGTGGCTATACATGGTTGGTGTCAATTTTAAAATTGAAAACTTTATGCCACGGGTCTTTGGATTCATACAAATCTGATATATTTTCTTTTAGAATTTTCAAGATTGATTTCTGAGTATATGATTTTTAAAATAATTTTATATTTTAACGGTATTAAAAAATTTTAAAATTAAAAATTTATAAAAAATGATGTAAATACTACATTATATTTTTAGAAAAATAATGTATTTAATATAAAACGAAGGACATTATTATAAAAAGATTTTATTAAGTAATTTGATTTTTTTTCGAATCAAATATAAAATTATAATATTTTAATGCCAATAAAATCACTCTTTGTCAGGAATCAATATTTTTTGAGAATTACTTTTTGTCTTAAAATTTAAAATTTTGTGAACCAAATTTCTCTTAAAAACAACTTAAAATAAAAGATATGACAAATTAATTAAAAATCCATCACTCTTGGAGAGAGGAAGACGCTATCACACTAGTTAAGTAATTTTTTTTTTTCAATAACTAATTAAGTAAATTTTAAATCTACGCAAATAGATTTATTCAAAATCTTTAGCTAAAAAATTTTGAAAAAATTATAATAAGAGTTATTTGTTTATCAAGTCGAATTAAGTTTGGTTAACCTTTTAAAATTTGTATTCAAACATAGTCTAACTCAATTCATTAAATTTGAGAGGTTATTTTTTTAAAATTAAACATTAAATTTTAAATGAGTTTTAAAATTAAAATTAAATAAAAATAATTTTTATTAATTAAATAAAGGCCTAGATTCAAACTTAGAAAATCTTGTCCAAGGCCGAATCCGAATTAAGCTGGTGAGATAGCTTGATCCTTGGACACATGTATCTCTGAGCAAAGCAGTTATTTGGAGAAATTCTACTAAGCTTGAGCAAGGAATTCAAGATAGCAAAAATAAATATTCTGACCAAAGCTCCTCTGTATTTTCCCAACGGCGCCACACCCATCCTTTTCAATTCTCTCCTTTCTGCACGCATGGTGTTGAAATTACGAACTACAACAGTTTTTGCTTTAATAATGCGGTCCGATATCTTTAGATTTTGTTTAAATTTAATCTTTTTGTTATAATACAATTTTAAATGATTGCGACAACTTGATGTATTTAAGATTTTATTATTCTCAGAATATTTTTTTATAAGAATCGAAGTTTGATTAACAAAATTAATTCCTCTCTCTCTACCAATTGGATTAACCCTTTTGAGCTGGAACTTGAAAGCCAACAACAATTACTCAAATAAGCAGCTGCCTCCATAGCCTATATACCAATAATTTTACCAAGTAGTAACTATTTCTTATGCAAGAATTGTCAAAGTTCCTTTAAGTCTGAAATGGGATATTGTTTTGATAAAGTTTGATGAGTCAAAATTAAACAACAAACACATTTTTCCACAATGAAGTAGAGAATTTGCTTGGAAATTCTTTTAAAATTGTTGAGATTGTAAAAAAAAAAAAAAAAACAAGTACTCAAAGAATGTCACAATCATTTCCGTAATTGATATCCAGAAAATCGTCAGAATCAATTTGAAGACATAACAAACAGGGAAGTGGCAATGGAGCCTTTCCTTAATTTTCAATTGTCCAAACATTTGCTTTTACAATTAAGGTTTTCTTTGCTTATTTTGTTTTGATTTAAATAGGCATCTTTTAAAAGATACAACAATTAATAAATAATCAGTATCTTTTAAAGAAATTATCTGCTAAACAAAGATTTTGCAATCGAGGTGTTGAAATTAGTTCCAATTGCTTGTTTTTTAAGTAGAAAATAGAGTCTAGAGATTACTTATTCTTCACATGTATGTTAATTAAACAAATTTGACCACGGCTGCTACATCTTTTTAGGATTTAAAGGCTAGCTAGTGACTAGTTAGCATTACGTGACACTTTAATTTCGTATCGACATATTTTAAGAATTTGTTATAATATATAAGTAGATATTTAAATTTATATTTGTGAGATAATTTTTATGAGATAAAATCATAAAATTTTCAGATCAAAATAGATAATATTTTATAAGTTAGATGTGAGTTTTCATAAATAATATTAATCACCAGTTAGACGTGAGCTAAATGCTACATGATTAGAGTCATTTTTAGAATCTTGAGGAAACTAAATGTTATATGGTAAGAGTTACCTTTAAAATTTTAACATATCTCTAGAATCCCAACATCTAGTATGATCTTGATTCTGTGATTTTGTATATATAATTATTGATTTTAACATTTAATGTGATTTTGGTTCTATAATTCTATATATGCGGTTATGTGTGCTTTGTGTTAAATTTAATGACAATGTCAAACTTTAATAGAGAAGTTTGTGATTTCTTAATTTTACATCGAAATATTTTAAAGATCCGTTATAATATATAAGTAAATATTTAAATCTATATTTATAAATTATTTTTTGTAAAATAAAATCGTAAGATCTTTAAATTAAAACGGATAATATATTATAGGTTGGATTTAGTTATCCACACATTATGAATTTTTTCAAATCAAAACTGAAAGATAAATCTCTTTTGATTATAACTCTTAAAATTGCTTGGAATCCCTTCATCTATGAAGTTTGGACGGAAAAGCAGGCTCCATAGAGTCCACACCTGGTTGATAATTTTCTTAACAGATTTCTTTATAGTAATTGGAATGTTTGATTGATTTGTTACATTTCCTTTTTTCTTTGATGTTTTTCTTTTGTAAAGCTTAATTCTTATTGGAAGATTCTCCTTTTTATGAATAAAAAGGACAATCATTTATCCAAGAAATTCAATTTATTATAGCCTCTGTTTGGTACAATGAAAAATAATTTTCTTCGCCACAAGCTTTCTATATCCTCCATGGTCTCCCTTTTTAAGCTTCAATCTCCAAGCTAATCATGTAACCTATGGGTATTTTGAAAAAAATCCTTCTTTTTTTCTTTCCCTCAAATATTGTTATTTGGTTATTCTATTGTGTTTATTTTGCGGGTTCTAATGTATTTAAAATAGGTATGTTGAATTAAAGAAAGATTTAAAAGAGAAGATTAAAGAAGGAGAAGATGAATAGTGAAGAAAATGTTTTTGTTTTCCATTGAAACAAATACCGAAAAATATTTTTTCTAAAGTGATCCAAAGACTAATTCAACTATTCTCAATAGAATCAAGGAAGTTGGTTTTATTTCTGCTGATGTTGTTCTTACTGGTTTTTAAAATTGTAAGTGGTTCTTGGTCCCTTAATCAGAATCCTGAGTTGTTACCCACTATCTGGGAAACAATAATAATAATAATATCTTGCAATAGAAAAATCTTCAAGCAAATTGGTAACTATGGCAAACGAGAGAGAGAGACACATAGATTCTAAAGAATTTTTTAGATTATCTGCCAATTCACGAGTTCTTCCCGATTCTATTCTTTTAATGAAGACCAATAATTGGTGACTTTAGATCAGTACTTGTGTCAGATTTCAGAATCAGTATACGTCATAAGGTAGCTGTACATGGCTGGTGTCAATTTTAAAATTGAAAACTTGATGCCAAGGGTCTTTTGATTCATAAAAATCTGATATATTTTCTTTAAGAATTTTGCTTGTGGAAATTTAATTTTCAAGTTTGATTTATGAGTATATGATTTTTAAAGTAATTTTACATTTTTATAGGTATTAAAAATTTTTAAATTAAAAATATATTTTTTTATAAATTTTTAAGATTTTCGAGAGAAAAATTATGTTCTTAACATATTTATTTGAATAAAAAATTATTTTATTTTATTTTATTTTTTGAAAATTAACATATGAAAAAGAAACATAATTTTGATTTTTTATTTATACACGTAATTTTGAAAAATAAATAGTACAAATATTGCATTTCAAGATAATTTTGAAAAATAAACGTAATATCTCTTTGCATTAAATGACCTTTTGGAACCTCCATTTAATTTTATAAAATCAATATATGTTTGGGATCCAACATAAAAGGCCCTTTGCGGTCAATATCTCTTTGCAGGTTTTTGATTTGTTAGACAAATAGGCGTTTATGTTACATAAATGTGAGGGTCTTAATCTGCTAAGTAAATATGACGTTTATGTTATATAAACATCGTGTCTGTATTTTTATTTTTATTTTTTAAATTTTGTTCTCAAATACAATGATTTTTTAAGATGAAAACGTTGTGTTTATATTAAATATTATGTTTATTTTTTGAAAAATATTGTGTTAGTTT